TCCTCCTCCTCCTCCTCCCCCTCCTCATCCTCCTCCTCCTCCTCCTCCTAGGCGTTGTGGTCCGAGGCGTCCCTTCCTTTCGGGACAGCCCGACGGCCACGACCCCAGCCTCCCGCCCCCCCCTGGGGCGCGAGGCGAAGCTCTCGGGCACGCGGCGCCTGCGATCGCCGTCGCCCGCGGCGGGGCGCCCTCGCGAGCGCGAGCGCTCGCCCGCCTGGCACCGCAGGGCGCGGCGCCAGCGCTCTGCCGCCCGTGCTCGGCTTCGGCGGCATCGCGATCGCCTGCTGCTGCAGGCGCACCACGGCAGCCAGCCGCCCATGCATGGGCCCCGCGGCGGAGGCCCCCCTGCGGGCCCAGCGCGCGGCCAGCGGCCGCAGGGCGCGGCGCGCGGCGGCGACGGCCCTGCCATCTCGGGCGGCGGCACCCCCTGCGGCAAGTGCGGCTGCCGCAAGAACGAGGCGTGGTGGCGCTACTGCAAGCACTGCAAGGGCGAACCTGCGCCGACGCAGGCCCCTCCTAGGCGCCCTCGCTCTGCTGAGCGGCGTGTGGTGCAGCGTGCGCCTTGGCACGACGAGGACGGCCTGCGACCTGGGCCAGATGGCCGAGCCGATACGCCAGGGAGACGGCGTGACGGCTCCAGGGTCCGCTTCGCCTTGTCCAGCGTGGAAGAGCTGCCCAGCGGCAGCGACGCCGACCCCGAGGAGGCCAAGCTGGTGCAGCTCATCAGCTTGCTCCGCCTGGAGCAGGACGAGGGCGGAGTGCGCAAGTACCAGGAGCAGCTCGACAGCCTGCGCAGTGCCCGTCGGGCGCGGCCCTTGTCTGTGGACGAGGCCATGGCTGCCAGGGACGCGGCAGCTGAGGCCTTGGACAAGGCTGTCGAGCATGCTGACTCACTCCAGGCCCAGTTGGACAGCGCCAAGTCGGTGGTGGTGGCCCGCTCCGCCAAGTACGATGAGGCTCTGGCAGCTTACACTACGGCTGTGCAGGCCTTGGCGCAGCAGGTCGCTGGCGCGACACCGCAGACGGCTGGCCCGCCGCTCTCAGGCAAGCTGTCCATCGCCAAGCTGCTCAAGGGTGACAACGTGGAGCTGGACGACGAAGGCCTCTTCGGCTTGGAGGCCCTGGAAGACTACGAGATTCAGGAGTCAGACCGCGAGGAGGCTGCCAGACGTAAGGCCGATCTCCAGAACAAGTTCAAGGCCATGGCGCAGGAGGCGTTCGGCAAGTTCGCGAAGGAGGCCCGCGAGCTCGAGCGTCAGCACTCGGAGCTCAAGGACCGCCTCCAGAAGAAGCGCAAGACCTCAGGCGAGGCGGCCGAGGCGGTGGCGCAGCCAGCGGCACCAGCTGCGGCAGCGGGGGCCAAGACGGCAGGCGAGGCAGGAGGCCCCACGGCGCCTGCTGGCCCAGCGGCCGAGCCTGGCGGCCTCGTCGCCGATGGCGACAAGGATGTGGTGGCGGCGGCGCGCGCGCGGCTGGCTACTGCAGCCAAGGGCGCTGGCCGCGGTGCTGGCAGCAGCGGTGGGGCCGCCACTGCTCCACGGCCGACCCTTTGACGTCCCTGACGGGGTCGGTCCTCACCATCGGCATCTACACGGTCACGAAGATCTCGCCGTTCTCGGGCTTGTGGGCGATCCACCTCTTCGGAGGTGCCACGTCTGGGACGGCCACTACTACATGGGGCACTGCGATGACGCGCAGTGGTTTTCTTCCTCTTCACTTTCTGCTTCCACTCCCGCAGGGGCGCCTGGTCCAGTCTATGACGACTACTTCTACCTAGGCGGCGAGAGTGACGGCACCTCCTTCACCAACACGGGGGCCACCTATCTTGACGGTCCGACGTATGATGACATGCAGGCCGTGGCTGGCCCTGATTACTGCGTCTGGAAAGATATGGACCCTGATAGGCAACGCGCACTTGTGCTCCAGCGTGAGCTCGAACGTGCCCTTCGCAGATTCACGGGGCACTGGCTGGAGGACCCGCACGTCCTGGACGACGATATGGACGGGATGCACTGGAGGCGGCACTGCGTGCCATACATTGCCAACTACCTGTCGCACCCGTTTCTGCGGCCGCTGGTCATGGAGAAGGCCCAGCAGGATGGGCATGACAACCCTCACATTGCTGCAGTTGATATGGCTATCGACATCTGCAGG